TATATATATAAATATATATATATATTTAAAAATAAAAAAAAAAAAAGAAAAAAATAAATATCCAATTATGCTGTTTTAATGTTAATATAATGTCAACGTCAGACGTTTCAGTCTAATAGACCATCTTCAGGACATATTCATAAAACATAATTAACAGCATAATTGCATATAACTTTTTTTTTTGTTTGTTTTTTTCCGTATATTTTTTCTTCATACTGTCGGATCTATATCCATATATTTGCTTACATATATATATATATATATATATATATATATATATATATATATATATATATATATTTGACCAAATTAATTGAAACAAAACGAATAATTCCGTTATTATTTACTTTTTTATTTTTTTCCAATGAAACATGACCCAGTGCACATATTAGTACCTCGTATGTCCATTCCACGAATTCGTTCCTTGCAGATTGATCACAGATTCTCGATTGGATATAAATTAGGAGAGCTACCAACCTGTCTATAGTACTTTGATTTGCTCATTGTTTAGGCATGCCAGTGAGTTCGTGCAGCGTTACAAGTATCGTACGTTTCCTTGGAGTAACGTCCATCGCAGACAATGGCCGTAGGACAACTAATCGAAAGTTGAGACAATAGTGTCTGGGTATGATGAAAATCTGATGCAATCAGAGATGGTGCAATATTTTTCAAAACCAAACAACACTATTTACATTATTAGGACTATTGTCCTCATCTTTGTTGCCATATTTATCACGACGTTGGATGTTCTAATATCTCGAACAGAGCATTGGTTCAAGACATCCGTATACCTCAAACCAACATTCACCGGACAGTACCTCAATTCCACTACTTACAACACCGAGCAAAGTGGCGACGCAGAGATAAAAAATTGGTCAGTATAAGTAGTACCCTACAACGTAACAACTAACCTGCGTACATGGCAGCAGCCCCCCCCAAAAAAAAAACTGGGATAGGCGGGTACAAGAGGAGGAGGACAACATCACTCAGAAAACAGTCTGCCTGCCTTATGTGAAGGGGTTATCAGAGAAAATACATAAGATCTGCGGTCCATATAACATCAGGACAACCTTCAAAAACTGGACGACTCTTCGCAGATATCTCTCCCGAGTGAGACCCCCCATAGAACAGAACATGACTAAAGACTGTGTGTACGCTATCCCGTGCAGCTGCGGAAAGAAATATAAAGGTGAGACAGGCCGCCCCCTCAAGGTAAGGCTTTAAGAACACCAGAAACCTGTAACACGAGGGTAAGTAGAAAAATCAGGCGTGGCTGACCACATATGGAGAGAGAAGGGAGATCACCGCCCTCTGTGGGATCATGTTGAGATCATAGACAAAGAACACCATTGGAAAATTCGTAAACTTAAGGAATCAGCACATATGCTAGGCTACAAAAATCTCCTGAGCCGACCAAGCATAGAAATGAATACAATATAGGAACCAGTAATAAGGAGTGCCAGAGATAAGCGATAGTAACAAAGAAAATTGCAATATGAGCTCTGGTAAAAACCTGAAATAATAACAGCAAAAATTGCAATATGAACACTGGTAAAAAATGATGCTGAAGACATTAGGTCTATAATACCCAGAAATTCGCATACATATTTCCTTAAAGGCACATGGCACAGTGGATAAAAGCGTTAGTTAGATCCAATGACAAGACCCAAAGAGTGTGAGTTCAATACCTGGTTAAGGCAGTGGGGAACTTAGAGAGGGGAATTAACAGGAGATAACTGACATCCATCAAACATGGCACGTGGAACTAGAACAGTCTACCCAAGCGACCGAAATATAGGGTTCAGTCCGACATTCCAACCACCTGAAGAAGGCCGGAGCGTACAACGGCCGAAACATTGTTATAAATATGGCAACAATGAGGACAATAGTCCGAATAATTTAAATAGTGTACATGATACCTCATCTCAGAAATATAGACAAATACAAAACCAAACAAATTTCATCATACACCCCGAAATAAGATTCAAATTGGTGTACATCACTGCAAATGACTTAATCTAAGGAAAAAATAAATAAAAATCGATTACATCTTGTCACTCTAGTGGGTCTAAAACTGACCGTATGGTAAAAGAAAAGAAACTAAAGCGATTGTTTCAATTAATTTTCACAAGAATGTAGTGTAAATAATTAAATTTTCTTTTTTAAATTAAGGGGGTCTACGGTATATTTAATTGAATATAACAGGTTTGCCTGAGCTTTTCAGTTGGGATTGTTCTCTTCAAAAATGTTAAACTGCACGTATCTGCTCAAATAGCGGGAACAAAAAGAAAAGTATCATGATCGAATATTTGTTTTCTTGCAAATTTCAAAATGATGCAAACCAAGGAAAACGTCTAAGCGGTCTATGTTAATTCTTCTCGGAAAATTTTTTTTGAGCCTTGCCTTCATTTTTTCGGTTGGTTTACGGACGCAAACATCTTTAAAACATTGGTTCCCCAACAAACGCCGATGTTAAGGCAACGTCGAGCATGGTCAAAACCTCGAAATGGGTAACCGCTAGTAGATACCAAAATACAGTGAGCTTGGATGTATGTGTTTTATAAAGAAAAATGCGGGCACATCATGTTGAAAATCGTTTTCTCCGTACGATCGCTGAAAAGTTAAGCAAATCGAGGTGGTCAAATACCTAGATGGGTTTGTCCTCTTTGAAATAAAAGGTTAATGCATTGAGCTTGGATGTAATGAACTTGGTATAAAATATTCATATTTTAAAACAAAATTTTTTTAAATAACCTAATTTGAGAAAAATAAAATCGATTACACCCTGTCACTCCCAGTGGGTCTAAAACTGACCATATGGTGAAAAAAGAAAATAAAATCTTTATTTTTTCAATTAATTCATTTATTTATATATATATATATATATATATATATATATATATATATATATATATATATATATATATATATATATATATATATATATATATATATATATATATATATATATATATATATATATATATATATATTAATGTATTTAAATATTTTAAAAGGAATACATAGGTGAAACCCCAAGAAATATAAATAAAAGATTATAGGAACAGAAAAGTAATATTTTACAAAACAAAATATTACATGCATTAGCCGCTCATCGTAATGAGTCTGACCATAATTTTGATTTTAAAAAATGCTACACGAGAAAGCAATTTTCAAAGATGAACGTGTATAGAATCGCTAGATGATCCGATGGCTCATTTTTTTAATTCATTTGTTTTTTTTTTTTTATGGCTTATCACCCTTTTATAAGTTATTTAAAGCCGAAAGATTTTCAAAATGGTAACAATATTTTTTTGCAGGTTAATACTGTATTCTCAATTTCTTGGATATAATAATGATTTTTTTACAAGCCTTACTATTTTAACCCATAGATGGGGGAGAAGAAGGTGGATTCATACATTTTCGAAGAATATTTGTTTCGTGATGTCAACGAACACTTTTTGCCACTTTTGAAATGTCAACGAACACTCGCTGCCACTTCTGTAATGTCAAAGAATACTCGTTGTCACTTTCGTAATGCTCGTTGTAGTAGAGACTTTGTAAACGCAGATACAACTATAGTAACGCCGTTGATTAATACTAGTGTCAGATGCCTTCGAATAACACTCGCACTAATAGTACTTGCTCCATAATACTTGCTCGAAGAGTAACCACCGAATAGCGATCTGAATAGGGATCAGCATAGAAAAATAGTATAGTGAATAATATAGAGGATAGTGATCCATATAGTGATCAGCATAAAGAAAGAGTATAGTGAATAGTATAGAGAATAGTGATACGTATAGTGATCAGCATAGAGAAATAGTACAGTGAATAGTATAGTGAATAATGATCCTTATATTGATCAGTATAGAGAAATAGTATAGAGAATAGCCATCCGTATAGTGATCATCATAGAGAAATAGTATAGTGAATAGTATAAAGAATAGTGATACGTATAGTGATCAGCATAGAGAAATGGTATAGTGAATAGTATAGAGAATAGTGATCCGTATAGTGATCAGTATAGATAAATAGTACAGTGAATAGTATAGAGAATAGTGATCACTATAGAGAAATAGTATAATGAATAGTATAGAGAATACTGATCCGTATGGGGATCTGCATAGAGAAATAGTATAGTGAATAGTATAGAGAATAGTGATACGTATAGTGATCAGCATAGATAAATAGTATAGTGAATAGTATAGAGAATAGTGATCTGTATAGTGATCAGTATAGATAAATAGTATAGTGAATAGTATAGAGAATAGTGATCCGTATAGTGATCAGTATAGATAAATAGTATAGTGAATAGTATAGAGAATAATGATCACTATAGAAAAATAGTATAGTGAATAGTATAGAGAATAGTGATCCGTATAGTGATCAGCATAGAGAAATAGTATAGTGAATAGTATAGAAATAGTGATCCGTATAGTGATCAGTATAGATAAATATTTAAAGTGAATAGTATAGAAATAGTATTCACTATAGAGAAATAGTATGGTGAATAGTATTCTTTCTTTTAGATCCGTATAGTTTCAGCATAGATTTAGTATGGTGAATAGTATAAAGAATAGTGATCCGTATAGAGATCAGCATAGAGAAATAGTATGGTGAATAGTATAAAGAATAGTGATCCGTATAGTGATCAGCATAGAGAAATAGTATAGTGAATAGTATAGAAAATAGTGATCCGTATAGTAATAGTGGATAAAATAGAAATAATTGTATTGTAAAAGAATATAGATTAGGAAGAGTGATCAATTAGACGCCATGCTAATTTCCATAAATATATTTCCTTTGCGATCACGTGATCTACTAATTCAAAATGGGATCGCCTGTGTTTGCTCTCTGGCGATCTGTGTTCAAACTCCAGTGCCGGCAACCACACTATCCCTGTATCGATGTGAACGTAAGTGAATGCAATAAACCCAACCGGAATTCGAACTCGACTTTCTGATTTTTCATTCCAAGCCTTTTATCCATTAACCCAGCTTGCAAAACCTGGTATTCCCAAGCGGTCACCCATCTAGGTACTGACCAGCTTCGAAGCTTCTTAACTTCGGTGATCAGATGAGATGAGTCCCGCGAATGGCTCGGATGTCATCATGTGCTTCGTCAAACGAGATGCTGATTGATGAAGAGGAAAACATTTTCGTAAATATCACCTTATTCTATGTGTTAAGCCTTGCAAAATTACCGACATTTCCAAAATCGAAGACTTGGAAATCTTTTATTCGTCAACACATTAATTTGGTTCCTTCATTATTATATTTTCCTTTTTCTTTTTCTTTTTTTTTTTTTCTTTTTTTGTGATCTGAACATATCTTTCATCCATCCCCAGTTGATTATTGTGGGTAATTTATCGACATAATAGCTCTTATTGCTTTAATATCTAGATACGCGTAAGTTTGATTTAAACTTAAATCAAAAGTTAGATATCGGTTTATATTTACACCAGAGTCAGAATATAAGACATAGGTCCGATTTACACTAGACTTAAAAGGTAGACATAGGTTCGGTGAACACTCGAAGTAAAAGACATAGGTTTTGTTTGGACTAGAAACAAATGGATGATTCGTTCGGTTTACGCGGGAGTAAAAAGGTAGACATAAGGTTCGGTTTGAACTGGAATCAAAATGAAGATGTGTTCGGCTTACACTCGAAGCAAAACGTAAACATAGATTATACAGGGTATATTGGACTTCGAACGCTTCTACCAAGGATCGTATAACGAAATGATTCTATATAATAGATAGATAGATAGATAGATAGATAGATAGATAGATAGATAGATAGATAGATAGATATGAAAATATTTGAATAGATAGATAGATAGATAGATAGATAGATAGATAGATAGATAGATAGATAGATAGATAGATTTGAAAAGAGTGAGATAAATCTATTTATCGATCGATAGGGAGATAGATAAGAGTTAACTGTATAGGAACAGCAAGCTAGCTAGCTTGATAGACTTGAAAAGTATGAGACAGATAGATAGATAGATAGATAGATAGATAGATAGATAGATAGATAGATAGATAGATAGATAGATATGAAAAGATTTGCATACATTAGATAGATAGATAGATAGATAGATAGATAGATAGATAGATAGATAGATAGATAGATAGATAGATAGATATAAAAAGATTCGCATACATTAGATAGATAGATAGATAGATAGATAGATAGATAGATAGATGCATTGAAAGTAATTTACGGCATCAGCGTAAATCGCGAGAAACTACCCACTCGTCCATTTTTGTGGAATAAATTCATGCTACTTTTAGACCATATGTCGTTTTGTTCCTACTTTGCATGAAAGAGAATGCTCACATTCGCCAGTTCTTACCAATGCGAATAGGTAGATTTTAGAAATGTCTATCTTGGTTATAGAAGCAAAGTTTGAAGGAAATATTAGCCATTGTTCATACTTTCTAGGGCGTAAATAGGAAATAATAGTTGCTATCCAAGGACAAAAGTCGTGTTACACAGTGCAATCTGCGTTTATAATCCTTATAAAATATAATATCGGGTGCGTCAAAAAAAAAGACAAAATTCATGTTGCACAATGTTATCAAACATAAAAAGGGAAAAAAGTTCAATTCACTTGAGATTTGTAATTTAATTCAATGTAAAAAATAGATAGATAGATAGATAGATAGATAGATAGATAGATAGATAGATATGAAGAGATTTACATACTTTAGATAGATAGATAGATAGATGGATAGATAGATAGATAGATAGATAGATAGATAGATAGATGACAACTCTTATGTAGCGTGTTGATAGATAGATAGATATGAAAAAGATGTATACTTTAAATAGATAGATATGAAAAGATTTACATACTTTAGATAGATAGATAGATAGATAGATAGATAGATAGATATGAAGAGATTTTAATACTTTAGATAGATAGATAGATAAATAGATAGATATATTTAGATAGATAGATAGATACAGATAGAAAGATAGATATGGATGTGGCTGAGATAGATGAATAGATATTTTAGATAGATAGATAGATAGATAGATAATTAACATAATGAGATAATAGATAGATAGATAGATAGATAGATAGATAGATAGATAGATAGATAGATAGATCTTCATTTTTGTTTTTATTATCACAACATTTCGCTTGTTTTGGCCTCTGTCATTATGAACCTTGTAACATTTTTCTCTTTCTTTTTGAGAAAAATCTTTCTTTTACTCATATCCACCCAATACAAGACCCAAGGGCCACTCAAGGTAGAGGTTTACTGTGTGGTGTTGTATGACCGCAAAGAAAAGCAAGAATTGAAGTTCTCAGTGTCTTTCCAGGAAAAATGACCGCTCATTCTAGATTTGAAGGGGTCAACATTGAATTAGTTAATAACATTTCAAAGTTTAATTTGAGAAACTGGAAACATAACATGAAAATAGATTTGAACAGGAAACAAGGGATAACCCCCTACTCCTGTTCAACTTCTCAACGGGACAATAGCCTAATAAAATAGTCCGTGACTTTGGTGATATAGTAATTGTGAGTTCAAACCCTGGGCGGGATATTGGGGAGATAGTGAACAATAACTAAGAAGGGTGAATTAAGGACTAGATGAGATATCCCGAGGTATGGTCAGTGGGACGGGGATAATCTACTCATGAAGTTGAAATAAAAAGTTCTCAGTTCGTAAGCCTTACAGTGAGGAAGAAGAGAAACGAAGAAGGGGACTGAAAATCGGTCAGAGGCTTAGGATGAGTTGTAGGAAGGAATAAGTTACAAAGGCAGAAGCACTGAATTACAAAAAAAAAAAAAACAGATACACTGTTGTATCGTCAAGATGAATGATACACAGAGAAGAATGAGAGCTTAATATCTTTATTCAGCACCAGTATCCGGCGCTAACGGATACATACAAAAAAACACAGAACAATAAGTTACAAAACAATTAACAAGACAACTTACAAGGAATAGACGAGGGTCAGATGCTGTATAACGAAACGAAGATCAGTCCGAATATTAATCATCTTAGTATCAACTTATTAATCAACTTTTGAAGTCGTTAATATCAGGCTATTTAGGGCTATGAGCCAGGCCATCTGGTAGTGTGCTGAAGGAGTGCTAGCAACTCTACAATAAACACACAAAATGCCGGTAATGTATTTTACAAAACAAGGTAAAAAAAAAAAGCGATAATGCCAATAATGTGGTGCTTTTTTCGTTTCTGATACAAAATTTATAAATCGGCAAATCCAGGAGGACAAATAAAATATAAAAATGTAATCTTAAAATGGCGATTGTGGAAAATCATAATAAAACATAATAGTCAGAGAAAACAAAAGATGGCGTAATGGGCATGAAAAATGTATGATATGAAAAGGTGAATAGAATATGAGAGGGAAAAGGGAAAATGGAATTGGAGAAGTCGAAAAAAATGGCGATGAAGAGGGGTGGAAAGGATGAGAAATATGGCAATGTGTTATGGGGAAGCTGGAAAAACGTTGGCTGTGGAGATGGAGAGAAAGGGGAAATTTCGAGTATATGGATAAAACAGGGAGTGGGAAAGTCTGAAATTAGATAGATAGATAGATAGATAGATAGATAGATAGATAGATAGATAGAGAGATAGATAGATAGATAGGTGAAAATCTGTATATTTTAGATACATATATAAAAAATGGATATTTTAGATAGATATAAAAATTTTAGATAGATACGAAGAAATGAGATAGATAGATAGATAGATAGATAGATAGATAGATAGATAGATAGATAGATAGATAGATAGATAGATAGATAGATAGATAGATGAAAATGTGGATATTTTAGATAAAAATTTGGATAATTTAGACATATAGATATGAAAAGACTGAGATAGATAGATAGATAGATAGATAGATAGATAGATAGATAGATAGATAGATAGATAGGTGAAAATCTGTATATTTTAGATACATATATAAAAAATGGATATTTTAGATAGATATAAAAATTTTAGATAGATACGAAGAGATGAGATAGATAGATAGATAGATAGATAGATAGATAGATAGATAGATAGATAGATATAGATAGATAGGTGAAAATCTGGATATTTTAGATAGATATAAAAATTTTAGATAGATACGAAGAGATAGATAGATAGATAGATAGATAGATAGATAGATAGATAGATAGATAGATAAAATTTGGATATTTTAGATAAAATTTGGATATTTTAGATAAAAATTTGTATATTTTAGACATATAGATATGAAAAGACTGAGATAGATAGATAGATAGATAGATAGATAGATAGATAGATAGATAGATAGATGAAAATCTGGATATTTTAGATAGATATATAAAATCTGGATATTTTAGATAGATATAAAAATTTTAGATAGATACGAAGAGATGAGATAGATAGATAGATAGATAGATAGATAGATAGATAGATAGATAGGTGAAAATCTGGATATTTTAGATAGATATAAAAATTTTTATAATAGATATCTAGATAGATAGATAGATAGATAGATAATGATAGATAGATAGATAGATAAAATTTGGATATTTTAGATAAAATTTGGATATTTTAGATAAAAATTTGGATATTTTAGACATATAGATATGAAAAGAACTGAGATAGATAGATAGATAGATAGATAGATAGATAGATAGATAGATAGATAGATAGATAGATATATAGATAGATAGATAGAATGATATTTGAAAATCTGGATATTTTAGATATCATATAAAATCTGGATATTTTAATAGATATAAAAATTTTAGATAGATACGAAGAGATGAGATAGATAGATAGATAGATAGATAGATAGATAGATAGATAGATAGATAGATATTGATGGAAAATCTGTTGTTTAGATAAAAAAATTTTAATATAGATATGAAGAGATAGATGAATAGATAGATAGATAGATAGATAATAAATAGATAAAATTTGGATATTTTAAAATAAAATTTGATATTTTAGATAAAAATTTGGATATTTTAGATATATAGATATGAAAAGACTGAGATAGATAGATAATAAATATAGATAGATAGATAGATAATAAATAGATAGATAGATGAAAATCTGATATTTTAGATAATATATAAAATCTGGATATTTTAGATAATTATAAAATTTTAGATAATACGAAGATTTATAGAATAGATATTAGATAGATAGATAGATAGATAGATAGATAATATTTATAGATGAAAATCTGGATATTTTAAATAGATATAAAAATTTTTATAGATATGAATAGATAGATAGATAGATAATGAAAAGATAGATAGATAGATAGATAGATAGATAGATAGATAGAAAAATATTGGATATATTTTTTTTATATATTTGATATTTTAGATAAAAATTTTATTTATTATAAAATTAGATATATAAGATTGAGATAGATAGATTTAGATAGATAGAAGATAGATAGATAGATAGATTTGAAAAAAATCTGATATTTTAGATAGATATAAAAAATTTTAGATAGATATGAAGAGATGAGATAATAGATAGATAGAAAACGATAGATAGATAATAGATAGATAGATATTAGAAGAAACACTGCTCAAGAAAGAGAAGATGAAACGATCTGTTAAGGTGAATGAAATGAAAAAGTTAATTTACAAAAAACGACACTTCTGCCAGATAACCAAACAAGGAAAGAATAAGAAACGAAAGAACGCAAAAAAAAAAAATATAGAAAAATCTGCCAATCTTAAGCATCGCCAACGACTATCAATTACAAAGAGATGACTAAAAAATTCAGTCAAGTGGTACTGATTCTTTCACGGAACGCTAGCCACCCGAAACCATAAATGAATACTATATTCATATAAATTGATCGGTCGGAATTTTTTTTTTTTTTTTTAATAGCAAACATTTTATAACATTTTTTTAAACTTATTTTCCCCTTTTTCCTTTTTTTTCTTACACACACACATATATATATATATATATATATATATATATATATATATATATATATATATATATATATATATATATAATTTTTATTTAAAAATATGATTCCAAAACGCTACATAAGAAGTCTCATGTTTCAAAACAAGAGCCGAAAACTTCAATATAATTATTTAAATTAAATTGAGTTAAAATAAGCTCTGTTCCATCTTCAAGCGAGATTTTTTTTTTTTTTTTTGGAATAACGTATATCTGAAATTTACGTGTTTTAAAAATTGAAATCAAAATTTCCATGGTAACAGCTAGGGCGAATTGTTTAAGTTGGGTAGGCGGGTGTTGGGTGTTAATAATAAGTATCAGTATAGAGTTACTTTCGTAGATATCAAGTCAGGGAAAGGTGGGGGTGTCTAAATTTTAAACGGAAGATGTATTGACCCTCGTCTAGTTTGCATGTCTATGGAGATTTATTTATTTTTATTTTATTTTTTATGAAAGGGATTTGTGCATATAAAAAAAAACTGTCGTAACGTTTGTTTTTTGACGACTTCATAAAGGGTTATCTTTTTTTAGGGTATTTAAACTATTTATTTGGGCTATGGATTATGAAGGGTGTTATATTGTATGCATGTTTTTTTTAATTATTCAAACCATGTATCTGATGATTGGGCTATGGATTAAACATGTTATATATATATATATATATATATATATATATATATATATATATATATAGATGGATGTAACAGCAAAATTGTCCAAATCATGTAGCTGCATAATTGTCTATCCCACAAAATGTTTAAAATCTAAAAAAACCAAAAAAAAAAAACCACTAAACTAATTGAGTTTGTTTTTTCCAGGTTTTCAGATAGGACGTTTCGCCATCTTGACACGATTTTTCGTAAGAATCACTGAAAAACCTTTTGAGTTATTCAGCTAAAAAGGGAACCGCTTAAAATCGTTTTGTGTCAGCTCTACTGTCTTCCAAAATGTGCAACGGTGAGAGAAAAAAATCATTATTACTGCCTTCAGAAAAAAAAAAGAGGAGAGGAAAACTGGATCAGGAGGTCAACTTAGAGCTAAATACATTCTTATTGTTCAAAATAGAGTCCAATAGTGTTATAAAAATCTCGGTGAATTCCAGTAAGATATCTTTAATCATTTCTAATATACAACGCTTCAAATCTTAATCTAGCAATTGAATAAATTTTACTGTTACACAATTTGGACAGTTTTGTTTTACACCCGATATATATATATATATATATATATATATATATATATATATATATATATATATATATATAATAGGGATGACACAAAAATGATTTTAACCTTTTCCCTTTCTAGCTGAATAACTCAAAAAAACATTTTTCAGAGATTCTTACGAAAATGGTGTCAAGATGGCTAAACAGTACTTTATCTGAAAACATGGAAAAAACAAACTCAATTAGTTTAGTGGTTTTTTTTTTTTTTTTTTTTTTTTTTTTTTAGATATTAAATATTTTATGGGATAGACAATTATGTAGCTACATGATTTGGACAATTTTGCTGATACATCCGAAGGGAATTTTAACGTTTTTCTCTACGCGAAATACACTAGCGACATGTATGAATTGAGTTCGCCGAGCCGCTAGTGTATTTCCCGTACTGAAGAACGTTAAAATTCCCTACTTTTCCGCCTTTCGATGATGGCCTAGAGGTATGATATCTTAGATCGAAACGCGACAGATCAGACTGATATCAAATCTATCGGGTTTCGATCTCGGCTTGACGCTATCGGACGTCAAGCCACACTGAGAAGCTGTGATACAGCGGAACCGTCTGTCTGTCGAAGACTCTATAGGCATTCAATTTTTTAGAATTATCCAGACATGAAAGTACTTACAATGGCTTTCTTATAAACTTTTTATTTACCGTAACTGCTCAAGTTGTTATGCGATCATGACTCTCCCCAACTTCCCATCCTTTTTATTTCTCAGCAGTATTTGTCGTTTTATTATGCCCTCCAGTCCTTTTTCTACTATGCACGCTGGTTAGATTTTCCTCTGTCTCTCTTGCTCTCAGTATATCAAGTGAGGGTCAAATTCTCCGAACCTTCTTTCCTCATTTCGTCCTGGGTACAAACCACATCCGTAAGCGAAGCCTCTGATCGGGAGGTTTTGATGAGTTTGGACCCACCTCTTAATTGCTGACCCAGGGTGGTAGCACCTTTACGGCCCTTTCTATGGACAAATATTTAATCCTTAAACTGGGGTCACAACATGAAAATATAAAAAAAAAAATTGAACAAATTTCAGGCAATATATCTTCAGAGTGAAAAAAAAATACAAAAATTACCAGCATAGATTTTTGGAGAAAAAATACCAAAGCACACAAGAAAATAAAAATCGGCAGTAAATGACCCATAAGGTGTTGATATGCCGTTAAACAAACCAAATAAACTATTTTTCCTCAGTATCTTTCCCAAATGTTTCAACTGATTGTAACTTGCTTAAAACCGCTTCGTTGCTCACAGGCTTTGCACATGGTATTCTCAACATCATCCTGTAGTTCCACATTGCCCCAAGCCTCCTATTCATCTGTGTCTCCTATTCAATGCCATATATCAGAATAGATATTACGTAGTAACTGAACAATCTTTACGTTCTTTTTCAGAAAAAAAAATCCTGTTTCTTAATACTTTGCTTAGCCCTTGGAAGGCATATTTCGCTCTCCCAATTTTCGGACTTCGATGTTGCATTTTCCGTCTATACTGCCCAGATATCAGAATTTCTCTAACAGCTTGATTTTGACACCCTTAATACGTTTGTGGGTGCGTTATTTTTGTGATGTCAACGAATACTCGTTGTCACTTTCGTAATACTCGTTGTAGTAGAAACTTTGTAATCGCAGTTACAACTATAGTAACGCCGTTGAACAATACTGGTGTCAGACGCCTTCGAATATCACTCGCACTAATAGTACTTGCTCGATAATACTCGCTCGAAAAGTAAATACCGTATAGTGATCCGAATAGAGAATTAGTGTACTGAATAGAGTAGTGTATAGCGAATCGTATAGTAATAGAGGATAGACTAGAAATAGCGATCCATATAGTATAGAGGATAGACTAGAAATAGCGATCCGTATAGTATAGAGGATAGACTATATATATCGATCAATTAGACACTTGCTACCTCCCATATAAGCGTTTCCTCTATGGTCATGTGGTCTACTTAATTCAATAATGGGATCGACTGTGTTTGCTCACTGGCGATCAATGTTCAAATTCAAGTGTCGGCAGCGATGTTTTAATCTTATATAACAGTTATGACGTAATCGGTAGCGGCTTGGGGTAAAGAATCAGAGAAACGAGTTCGAATTCTAGTCACGTTCGGTGCATTCACGTACACGCAAATCCCCTTGGGGACGATATTGATCCATGTCCTCCCTCTCCACTCCCAACTATGGGTAAATAACAGGACAGATTGGGTCCTATAGCTTTAATTGGCAAGCACTCTTGGAAAAGGAAAAATTTGAATTCAAACTAGCCTGGTGATTTCAGATTATTCCTGTCCATATTTCGTTTTTGAAAAGACATTCTGAAAAAAAAAAGTCATTCATTAAATTTTTAATTATAATAAACATTAAAATTAATAGATATATGTCTTTTAAGAATTTGAATTATTATATTTTTATTCCTAATTATTATTTGAAATATCTTAAAACAGTGGGCTTATACCAAAAATTATAGGCTTATACCAAAAAAGTATGAACTTACGGCCATTTCCCGTTGAAACATTGGTTCCGTACGCAAACCAAAGATAAGCAAAGTCGAGCATGTCCGGTACCTAACATGGGTGGCCACTTAGAAATACTAGGTGATGTGGGGATGATATAATTGGTAATAGCTCGTAATTTTTAATGAGAGAACCGAGTTCCAATTTCGGTCGGGTTCGTTAGATCCACAAAAATGCAACAGAAATACTTCTTCAGTTATCAAAGTTCTATTTGTGCGAGGCAACACCTATATAAAAAAATATAACATTACGGCTACATCGCGCGTTCCCGAACGATCAACGAAGTTAAGCAACGTCGAGCATGGCCAGTATCTAGATGGGTGACCGATTGAGAATACTAGGTGTTGTAAG